GGCCGCGGGAGGTCGGCGGAGGCCGGTTCGGGGTTCACACCGATGGCGCCCGCAGCCGAATTCCGCGCGCAGAACTCAGACCAGATCCTCAGGGACGGCGAGGGCCGGGCAGGGCGGGCCGGGGCTTCCCCAAACGGTCAGCGCTCAAGTTCAAGTTTCCTGGAGCCCGACCGCAGTAAACCCCCGCCTGCTCTGGGCTGCGCTCCGGCACCGCACGACCCTCTAACCTGGAGCTCTGCGCCCCTGAGGGACCGGCCACGGTCCCCAGTGCCCAGCACTCAGGCGCTGTCCGGAGCCAGTGTGTTCCACGCAAGCCCTGAGAGTTCTGGTTCTGGCAGCTGTGCCGGCTCCAAGGGCGGTTAGCCCTCTGCTCCTACAGGCTGTGGCTCTGAACTTGGAGGAAATAGGGAACCTCACCCAGACCTCTCCTGACACTTGTTGGCCCCACCGTTCCTCAGGGACGTGGGTTTGAGCTCCTGTACGTTCATATCATGTTCTGGGCCACAGTACCAAGGGACCCCGTGGCCCCCAGCCCTTGCTTGCCCTCGCTGTGGGAGGCATTGGGAGCAGGGTGTGTTTCTAGTTCACAGAAACCACAGTTCCAGTGAAGACTCGCCATACGGCTCACCTGGTTTGTGCCCGGAGCGCGTTTAATCCAGCGTCCATTGCAAACTCCTGTTAGGGTTCCTCCGTGAGATAGTCTGCGAGGAGGGCTGTGTGCTCAGTGCCACCAGCTTCTAACCTCAGATGCCAGCAGTGCCTCCCCACCATGACAACCGCAACCCTCCCCTCTTCTACCCCGCCATTTCTCTACCCTCTCTGAGTTAGGTCCACCCTCTTAGAGAAGAGCCTGCTGTTTTAGAGAGGGAAGAGGGACGGAGGCGCAGGCCTGGGCAGGGAGCAAAGGGAGGCCCAGGGCACCAGGCTTGCTTGGGGACACGCTGGCCATCCCTCCCGCATCACTAGGCTCTCAGAGGACGGTCCGAGTGGCATTCCGGGATAGCAAGGTGCCAGCAGCCTTGCGCGGTGCGCTGAGGTTCTGGACCAAATTCTGACCTCGGCCTGGCCCCTAGGACAACTCACACACTCCCGGGCTGTCGGCTTCTTTTCTTTTTCTTTTTAAAAAATAGCTTCTACTGATTTTTTTTTTCTTGTTTCAAAAGTAATATGTTTATTGTAGTAACTTTAAAAAATACAGGTAAACGAAAAGGAAAAGAAAAATCACCCTCCTGGAGACCTGTTGTTAATATTTGGTCTTTATCTTGCCTTTCTCTATGCAATTTTTAACTTTTTTGCAGAAAATAATCAAGCCATCAAACCTATTTTGTAACATTTTTACCCCACCTAGCATCATTTTAGGGCTATCCCTCTCTGCCATTCCACTTTCTGTCATAGGTCCCACAACTCTGCGGGTGGCTGCACCATGATGTACCTGCTTGTCCAGTGTGGCTGGACCTGGCTTTACTTGGGCCCCCTCCAGGGCTGATGGAGCACCTGTGTCGGGTACTGCTCAAGGCCCCTAGGCTCAGAGGGCAGCAAGGGCCCTGCCTTCACGGCATTTACAGTTGTGGGCTGGGGGAAGTACACGTGTGTACAAATAAGACTACTAGAAACAAGAAGATGACAATAAAACGAGGTGATGGGTGCTTGACAGGAAGGGCCTCTGGGACAGGGGATGAGAAGGATGGTGGTCTGAGGAGACTGGGGTCAGGCTAAGGCCCCGGGCCAGGAAGCAGTGGATGGAGAGGATACCTAAGTGAGGGGAAAAGCCAGCACTGCAGGGTGAGGGCATGCTGCTGGCCCTTCGGAGGCTGTGACCAGTCTCCAGGTGGCCGCTGACTGGGAGGCAGGCAACACCCTATAGGTGATTAGCATTTCACGAGAAGGAACAGCTCAAGGTGGGAGGTGAGGGAAGGTTATCTTGGTCCCAGGTGCTGACCAGACCCTGACTCTTTGCCAAAAGTGGCAGGGAAGATGGGTTTCTGGTTTTCATCTCCATTGCTTTGATTGCCTGCAAGGGTGATAGATCCCTTCTTAGGTTTACTGTGCCCTCAGCTTACCATTTTCCAATTGGCAGAGAATGTCCAGCGTCTTGGCTCTTTCATAATTCTAAAATCCCAGGCCAAAGCCAGAATATTAAGAAATAATTCACTGTTTGTACCCTCATCCATATAATCGCCTGCAAGGACAAAGGAAGCTCCCGACACCTCCCTCCTCACCCTCCCTCTCCTCCTCGCTCCCCAGAGGGAGCCTGTCACCACACCTGGTGCCAGTTCTTTCCTGATGTTGTGTCCTCAAGAGTAGCTCTCTCTTCCAGTGACCTTATTCTACCTTCAAATTTCCCGAGAATGACTGATTTATTGCCCCCTTTCTCCTTAATCCCCACTTGGCAGACTGAACCTTGCAGAAGCCACTTTGCCTAGAGTCCTGCCTTTGCCCCACTACGTGAGCCAAGGGTTGTCCTCTGTTCCTTGCCATGTTCGCTTCCCTAGCGCAGCTCAGGCCATAGGTGATCGGAAGGCCAGCAGACAGGGCCAAAGCAGGCACTATATTGTGTCCCCTCAAATTCATATGTTGCCGTCCCTGACCCCAGGCCCTCAGAGTGGGACCTTATTTGGAAATAGGGTGGGTGCAGAACTATTTAGTTAGGTTAGGATGTCATGCTGGGGTGAGGTGGGCCCTAACCCAACCAATCTGTGGTCCCTATAAAAAGGGGAAATAGGGACACAGGGACAGATACCCAGATAGGAAAATGGCCATGTGAAGACCGGAGTGATGCTTACCATAGCCAAGGAACTACCGGAAGCTGGAGAGAGGCCTGGAACAGACCCTTCCTAGGGCCTTCGGAGGGAGCATGGCCCTGCTGACACCTTGGTTTCAGACTTCTGACTTCTTGAGACAGCACATTTCTTTGGTCCTAAGTCACCTAGTCCGTGGTGCCTTGATGTGACAGCCCCAGGAAGCTGAGACACCTTGCAAGCCGCCGTTCTGGTAAGTGCAGATTGTGCTCTGCAGGAGTCTCTGAAACCACGGGGCGGGGGGGGGGCCACCACCACCTTAGCTATTTTGACTTAGTTCTGGTTGCATTGTTTCTTTTTTCTTAGCACCCAGAACAGAGACTGGAAGTGGCCTGCATTCCAGTGGTTCCATCTGGAATGAACCGGCCTGGTGGCAAGGACTACGATCCTG